TATATCTTCTACAGTTTGTCTTTTTAAATTGCTGAAAAACTATTTAAATGATGAAAGTAAATAACCAAATTACAGGAGACAGAGAAAGACTCCAAAAGTTTCTAATGTAGTACTATATTCTTCAATTTTTTAAAAAGCTTTAAAAATCACATTTTAATCTTGACTAAAATATTTTATTTTTCCTCAAATTTTTTTCTATTGTGTGATGCAAAGTGAATATTTTAAAACTCTAAATTAAAACTTAGATCTAAATAATATTCCTCCACTGTTTTCTTTTTAAAAGCATTCTGCTTACATTTTCGTTTCCTCTGAACCAGAGGTCACTTAAATAGGTAAAAATTAAAATGTTTTGTAATTATAAAAATGGAAAATAAAACCACACCATATTTCCTTTCAATTATAACACATTATAAAGTGTACAAAGTGAAAGGAAAAAGGCCAATAATACCTAGGAACTTAACCAATATAAAAGGGTTAAATTTTACATAATTCATTTGCTATATGTGGTCTAATCCTCAACATAAGAACAATTAGTGCTATCTAATTGAAGATAAGAAATGGAATGGGGAGGTTTCTAAGGTATTGTCTTTTGGGTGGTGTGTTTACAGACTGGGTAAACACCGGTCCAGAATGTTGCATGAGATTCCTGGGGTGGCTAAGGAGTTGTTCAGATAAACTCTAAAGCCTTCTAGTTCTAAGATTTCCCATTTTGCCCTTCAATTAACCGATCTGCTTTCACTCTCATTCGAATCATTCACATAAATACTCAAAAGTTATTTCTCCGTTTTCTCTGCACTGATTTCACCAGTTTCTCGCTAACAAAAGGCACAAAAAATATGCACAGGTGGAATAAAAAGGGGAGTGGCCAAGGCCCAGCTGCTCCCGGGACAGCGCCCCCACGCCCCCTGTTCCCCCTGCCGCACCTGAGAAATCACTGCCTTCCACACCTCCACTCTTTCATAGCGGCCTCAGGAGCAAATACTCTGACCTATTACACTCCACCTGTACCTTGGCCAGACACTGGGCATTGTCTGGAACCTCCCGCGCCAAAGACCCGCAAGGCGGCAAGAAAAGAACGACTGAGAATAAAGAACGCAAGGGGAAGTAAAGCAATCGGAAAATCGTACCCTCCTTTTGGCAAAATCAGCTTTCCTATCGAACACTCAATTTAATCCCGGTCCCAAAATCCATCCAACCCACCAGCCCAAAGGTTGCAGCTGAGGGTAGCCAACCTGGTGACCCCTGAAGCTCTGCCCGTCCGGAGCACAGGCAGAGAGAAGGAAATGGGCGTGTGGGTTGGGCCTGGCTGGCCAGAGGCCGGGCTCCAAACAAAGCCGCCCGGCTCCCCCTACCTGGGGCGAAGGCGGCGGGCGGCGCCTCTCGTCTCACCGCGCCGCACCCGCCCGGCGACGCCCTAGCCCCGTCGACCCTCGGACCTGTAGGTCCACGCCGGCCCCTCCGCGCCGGCAAACAGCGCCCCTTCGGGACAATGGGGCCCCCTCCCCCGCCTCGGGGTGAGGAGGTACAAAGGGAGAGAAGCCCGGCGCGAAGCCAGACGTCCAGAAAGTGAAGGCGGAGGAGGGAGAAGGGACAAGAGAGGAATGTGACCCACGCGGGAACCTGCAGGTCGCTCTCCCGGCCGGCCAAGGCGCTGCCCGAGCCCCACCGCGGCGACTGAGGCGGGAGCGCGGACTGGCGGCCCCCTAGTCCCCCGACCGAGTTCGGGAGAGCATTATGCACACAAAGGGGAGCAGGACACCCGCCCGCCCTTCGCCAGCGCCGGGGCAAGGACGGCCCAACGCGCCCCTGGCACCAATGGTCAGCTGCGCCTGCCCAGCCCGCGCCTCGCAGGGGCCGGGGTCCGCGCGGGGCGTCCCTCTCCCCCACTCACCCAGAGCTCCGTGCCCCAGCTCATGGCGGAACTTGAGGCGACGCGCGCCGTCTGGCTGCCCTGCTGTCCGTCCGTCCGTCCGTCGGCTCCGCCGTCAGTCTGTCGGACCTCGCACTGGCTGGCCGGCTGGCTCTGCCTCGAAAGGTGCCGCCACCGCCAGGCTCCCCAGTGAGTGCGAAAGACGCGACTGAAGAAGGCGCCGCCGCCGCCGCGTCCCCGCCTCCCGGAGCCGGCAGGGAGTGGGCCGGGGCCGAGGGGAGGAGGAACCAGGAGCGGGGAGGGGGCGGGGCGCGGTGCACCCTGGGATCGGGGCGGACCCGCACTCGCTCGGCCGCGGCGGGCGGGATACCCTCGCCCGTGGCGTTCCCAACCGCTCTCACCTCTCCGGGGCAGGGTCTTATCTCCGCTGTCCCTCGGGACGTGGACGGCCCCGCTGCCGCCACCACTCGGATCTCTGTCCGCCAGATGGGAAGGGAGGGAAAGAAAAGACACCCACTGCTCCTAATATATCCCACCCCTTCTCTGTTCCGAGCCCCCTTACATGAGACAATTCCAGTTACCCTCTTTTCCTCCCTCCTTTCTCCTCCACTCAGGGGATACTCTGACAAGGAAACTTTATCCGAATTCTTGCGTTTAGATTGAGGACCTGTGTTTTATTTATTTTTAAAAATCAGGTTGCTTAAGGTGAGCTCTCATTTCAAGCTTGACGCTTCAACATTACAATACCAGGGAATAACTAAATGCCTACAGGTTGAACATCAAATGTGAATGCAACGTGCTCCCGACTCTGTAAATTCTGTCAAGATATCATAAAAAGAAGCAGATCTTCCAGTGATCGTTTGGGGATGTTACCATGGCACATGATGGAAGACGTGGACAAATGTGAGCCAAGCTGTCACCTGCGGAGACAGGAACGAAATTTGTCCCATTTCTAGAATGGGCACCTCGTTGGTGGGGGTTGGATGGGCGTCAGATGCCTCCCTGGTAGTGCAGACAGCCATGCAGAACTTGGGATAGCCTGCTCTTCAGAGTACCCTGGAGGCAGGTCCATCACTTCCTTTTTCCTCTATGGAGTTACTTCCCAGCCTCTCTCCATCTTTATACTGGCACCAAGTTGGGCTGGAGACACTAGGTATCAAGTATGCTTGGCAACTCCCTAACATATTCTTTAGTTATTGCTTGTCCCTTAAACACACACACACACATTTCAAGTCAGTCAACTGGGAGAGGGCTTCTCAAACGGTGTGTGTTGACAGCTGTATGCCTCAAGTTCTTGCAACAGGTTCTGTGCCAGCATTTGAAACTCCTCCCCCACTGGACCTGCCCAGGTGCCCCAGCCTCTTCCGTTTTGATCTTTGTCCTCGTCCAGCTGCGCGCTCTCTTTCGAGGTTGAGACAAATAGCTTAGGCTCTCATGACAGTCCAGCCACTGCTTTTGCTGAATTCTCTGCCGCCTTCCCTGAAGCCAGTTGGTCATACAAATACCCCCTTCCCAAGTGGGGTACAGCCAGTTATTAAATGCTTAAGTGTGAAGGCTGAACAACACTTTCTAATATTTTCCACTACTGTCTGTTTCAAATAGAATTCCCTGAAGGTTATTTATATCACCTAACATCGCTAACCCCTTGTCTCCCTTCCTCTTAGTCCCAGAATGTGAGGATTTTAACAATCACAAGTGATGTTGATTAGTAATAAAAAATATATTTACTAAATAAATGTCTCATTATTTAGAACCATTCCAATATTAAGATTTATTGTATCTATGTGTTATACAAGGTCATACAAGTTAAGACCTGTGGAGAATAATTTAAAGCTAAATTACGTACTTTCTCTTTTAAAAGTAAAATAATCTGACTCAGCGCCTGTAGCACAGCGGTTACAGCTCCAGCCGCCTACACCCAGGCTGGCACATTTGAACCGGGCCTGGGCCAGCTAGGCAACAATGACATGTGCAACAACAACAACAACAACAACAAAATAGCCAGGCATTGTGGCTAGCCCCAGCTACTTAGGAGGCTGAGGCAACAGAAGTGCTTCAGCCCAGAGTTTGAGGTTGCTGTGAGCTGTGATGCCACAGCATTCTATCAAGGATGATATAGTGAGACTGTCTCAAAAAAAAAAAAAAATTAATTACTCTTCAAAAAGCTAGATTTTAGGGTATCAAGTTTAATATTCAAATTTAAATAAATTTCTGTTATCCTCCATGACTATAAATTTTACATATAATTTATATGACAAACTTAAAATGATCATCTCTTTTAAGGCATCATTTGTAATTTTTAAAATTCTTTCATGATATTAAAATTAAGTATTTACTTCAAAGTCTAAAAAAAAGAGATTAAAAAGTGAAAACTAAGGCTGGGCAAGACGGCTCATGCCTGTAATCCTAGCACTCCAGAAGGCGGAGGCAGGTGGATCACTTGGGCTCAGTAGTTCTAGACCAGCCTGAGCAAGAGCAAGACTCCAATTTCTACTAACAATGAAAAACCGAGGAAAGAGGATAGCTTGAGCCTAAGAGTTTGAGGTTGCTGTGAGCTATGACACCTAGGCACTCTACCAAGGGTGACAAAGTAAGACTCTGTCTCCAAAAAAAAAAAAAGTGAAAACTATAATAAAGATTAATCAGATTTCAAAGTATTCCTTTTTATAACAAATCCTCTCTAACATAGAATCTGGGAATTTTAGCCAACAAATGTCCAGAGATGTTTTACACACATAGTCATATTATCAATTCATAAGGCTGTTTATGATTTTTCACATGATCAGAAACATTTCGGCATTAAATTATTTTTACATGATTTATTTTCTAGGGACCCATGCATGACAAGGCATTTTGTAAATAATTCAAATACATCATTTTTAGCTCTAAAAAAGATAACTTTCAGAATTTTTCTTTCTTTCTATTTTTTTTAGAGACAGAGTCTCACTTTGTCACCCTTGGTTAGAGTGCCATGACATCACAACTCACAGCAACCTCCAGCTCTTGGGCTTAGGCGATTCTCTTGCCTCAGCTTCCAGGGTGGCTGAGACTACAGGCGCCCCCACAGCACCCAGCTATTTTGTTGTTGCAGTTTGGCTGGGGCCACTCTCAGTATATGGGGCTGGCGCCCTACCCACTGAGCCACAGGCGCCACCCAACTTTCAGACTCTTGAAAGAAATATCTCTTTAGTATATAACACATATCTATTATTAATTCATTCCAAATGCTACCCCCATATTACAATTTGAATCATTAAATAATACAAAGATCTGTCAATCCAATTATCTTATACTTTTTTGGTACTTGACCTATTTTGGCAATCAATTGCCATGTCATTTATATTTCATATTAAATATTTTGTAAGGTAATCAACAATAAGAAGGAATCAAAATAATAATACTATTTTACTTTTCCACATACAACGGAGCTTCTCTACTAAGAACATTTGAAAGGGTTTAATGTATAGATTGGCTCTTACAGCAATTTAAATGATTATTACACTGTATCTTTTAATATGAAAAATAACTTTTATTGAATACATTTTTTTTCTTCAGGCATATGGTTGAACTCTAGTCTATTTGAATAAGTCATCAAAGTTTTCCATTTTCTTTTCTTTCTTTTTGTTTAAGACTGGTCTTGCTTTATCACCTGGGCTGGGGCCCAATGGCACCATCAAGCTTACTATAGCCTTGAACTTCTGGGCTCAGGAAACCCTCTGCCTCACCCTCTAGATAGCTGGGACTACAGGAACATACCACATCCAGCTAGTTTTTAAATTTTTTTTGTAAAGATGAGGTCTCCCTATGTTTGCCCAGGACAGTCTCCAACTTCTGACTTCAAGCAATCCTACTACCTCATCCTTCCAAATGCTGGGATTACAAGTGTGAGAAGTGCACCTATTACGCTTTACAGGTAAAAAGTTACATTTTGTTTTGCATATATTACCATGTAGTAATTAAAATGCAAGT